ACCCCCCCCCCCCCCCCCCACTCGAACTAAGTAGACCCTAAGCCGTTCAAGACACTGCATAGAGCCCGATAACAACCGCCATAAAACCGTACAAGAACCTGATATAAAGCCCCGAGCTCTTGTTTCTCTGAGGAGCTGAGCGTAAGAACGAATAAGCACCTAATAAGAACCCTTCTAGAATCCTACAAGCCTACAAGAGCTTGTTCTCTGAGGAGATCAAGAAATATACCTGAAGTTAGAAGGACCTTCATTTTATGGTTTAAGGTCTATTCCTTAATTAATGGCCCCCTTGGTCTCTTCGAACCTCTCTAGTAACCCTGATTATATAACCCTTATAGCCTTAGAGCAACCCTTATGTACAATCCTTACTGTATAACCCTTATAGCCACCCTTATAGCAACCCTTGTGATAACCCTTGTAGAACCCTGAGTTAAGGGGTATGGGGCTGGCTCTCTGGGCTCTCTGAGGAGCTGACAATATGCTGGAGCCGAGAAGTGTCAAAGCAACCTTCTCGGGCTTTCTGGAGTTGTTTTGGTGTGTTTTGTGAGGCCTATGTGGCGTTTTACAAGTGCTTTTGCGGGGACTTGTAGGTTTAGGCTAAGGTTTAAGAGGGTTGCCTTCACAATTCGAACGGGGTTTTGGTGCACATTCTGGAAGAAGTACACTGCGACCACAAGGGGATAATATGGGATACTATTCAATACGAATTATCCAGACTGCTATAGCATCCTCCTCTAAGAAGGCTTAAAGTCGCAGGTTCGAAGTTGAGGCTTCAGGCCCTGGGTTAGGGCTTAGGGCTTAGGGTTTAGGGTTGGGGGTTTAGAGTTTAGGGCTTGGGGTTTAAGGTTTAGGGTTTAGGGCTTAGGGTTTAGGGGGTTTAGGGCTTAGGGCTTAGGGTTTAAGGCTTAGGGTTTAGGGTTGGGATTCAGAGTTCAAGGTTCGGGAGTCTTGTGCAGAAGGGTGGACGGCTGCAGTCAAGAAAGAATTAGGGCTTGGGGCTTAGCCCTCAACCCTAAACCCTAAACCCTAAGCCCCAAACCCTAAACCCTGAACCCTAAGCCCCAAATCCTAAACCCTAAACCCTCTCGGGCAGCAGATTTTTTCTTCACGCGGCTTCCAACTCAAAGCTATGCCAGGACTCTCGGAAGAGATCGCGAGTTGCTTGCGTGAGCATACGTTCCGGCGACACCAAGGTCCTCTTCAGGGCTATTTTGTTTGACACCTCGTTTTAGGAGTTAGGATTAGGGGGACCCTTAGGGATATAGACCCTCTCAACAAGGTCACTTTTAAGAGAGCCACAAGTAGGAATAAAAAGGGTCCCCTTTAAGGGGTCTCCCTAAACCCTAAACCCTAAACCCTATTAAACCCTAAAGCCCTAAAGCCCTAAAGCCCTAAAACCCTAAAACCCCAAACCCCTAACACCCAGGGTCCCCTTTAAGGGGTCTCCCTAGTACTACCTGGGACTCTTCCTTCGCCTGAGTGGGTCGAGAATGCCACTTTGACTGAGCCCAGGGTTTACGGTTGAGGGCTTGGGGATGAAAAGTCTCTCTTTATTAAACTCCATATTAGGGTGGTTTGTTTAGGGTTTAGGGTTTAGGGTTTAGGGTATAATTTATACCCTAAACCCTAAACCCTAAACCCTAAAACCACCCTAATATGGAGTTTAGAGATGGGATTTAAGGGTTTCCTGCAGCCGGGCCGGATGGAGTTCTGCCAGGGCAGGAACTGATTGCACTGTAACAACGACCGAGTAGACAAAGCACGTAGCCATAAGCGAAAAAAACCCAATCCTTACTTGCCGGGGCAACTTGAACCCCTAAACCCTAAACCCCGAAATTCCTGAAACCAGACCCGGACACTTCCACTTGGATTTGCAGGCCCTGAGGTCATGGTGTAGAGAGCGCTGAAGGGAGTCGATGACGCAAGGGCGACCACCGACCAGCAGTGAACATCCACCGTGCCCTCCTCACGAGGCCCGGGGGTGGGGGTGGCCTTTGCTAGGGTTTAGAGCTTACCTGGACCCTCAAGAACCTACCTCTTGTACGGTTCCTTCAGCTGATCTTCTTTATATAAGTCCCTAAAACTGTGGGTTATTTGGGGTTTAAAGCTCAGGGTTTCGAGTTTAGGCTGGGGTCTACTTGGGAAGTCCATGGAGTTGAGCCTGGATGGTGAGTGCGGTCATGCCTCCCTACGCATAGTAAAGAGTTGAGCCCTGCGTAATATGGACGCCCGTACAGTCTCTAGATCATGCTAGTATAACAATACCCTAAAGCCCTATTCAACACGAATGTTAAACCGTACCGCTGCCGCTCCTGGTCAGGGTAGGTGACCACGTATTCCTGGGATGCTTTCTTGGCCAAAAGATTGCCCCAAACCCCTGAACTCCTGCACCTGAACCCTAAGCCCTAAACCTTAAACCCTAAACCCTAAACCTTAAACCCTAAACCGCAGAGACCCCGCACCCCAAACCCGCAGCCCGAGAGGAAAACTTCGGCCGATCTAGTGTACCTGGCCTTTTCGGCTCGGGGTTTAGAACTCCGAACCCGACACCTACACAGGCATCATGCCCCGACACTAGAGCCCAAAAGACGTCAATGTCCCTAAACAGTCCCTAAACCCTAGACCCTAAACCCTAAACCCTAAACAGTCCGACCCTAGACCCTAAACCTGTCTGCTGGAAGGGCCCTAAAGTCTCTCTCGGGCTTGGATGACCAACCCTCCCCTCCGGCAAATACTCCCTGGCAAAAAAGCGGATCATCTTCATTTCTTAGATCATGGTAGGGCTCTACAAACCTATAGTGGTCTGGTAAGCATGACTAATTATCCAGGGTTCGTTCTATATAACCTGCTCAAACAACCCTGAGCTCGAAAGCCTTATCACTGAACTCCAAACCAGAAAGCCAAATCGAAAACCGTCCCTGCAAATCATGCTCTTTCTCTCAGCACCACCCTACACCCTAAGCCCTAAGCCCCAAACCCTTTTCTCTAAAACCCCTAAACCCCCTGAACCCCTAAACCCTAAACCCTAAACCCCTAAACCCTAAAACCCTAAACCCTAAACCCCTAAACCCCTAAACCTCTCTGAACCACCCCTAAACTACACAACAAGAACGAAGCCGGGGCTCCAGTTCGTAGCTGCCGCGGGCCGAGCGCTCGGCGCCGAGCAGCTGCGCCGTGCGGCCGGAGCCCTCGGCAGCTTTTAGGGTTTAGGATACGGGGCTTAGAGTTTAGGGTTTTAGGGTTTAGGGTTTAGGGTTTAGGGTTTTAGGTTTTCGGGTTTAGGATATAGGGCTTAAGGTTTAGGGTTTGCCATTTTAGGATCTAGGGTTTAGGATTTAGTTATAGGGCTCATGGTTTGGATTTGCTGTCTGGGTTAATGGTTCAGGATTTGGGCTCTGGCGTTAAGACTGTTGTGTTTGTGGGTCAGGGTTAAGAGTGTAGGCGGCATTGCAGAAGACACCCAAAACTGTAGGGTGGTTGAGGTTTTAAGATAAGAAGATGGAACCTCAAAACCCTAAACCCTAAACCCTACAGATAGTACTTACTGAATCGTCTGGTAGAATGTTCAATTACACTAGAAAGGTGTGAAGTTCCATAGTCACGCGGGTTTAGGCTTTCGGGATTAAGGTTTAGGGGTTTTGGGGGTTTAGGGTTTAGGGTTTAGGGTCAAGGCGGGTGTTCGGTTGACGGTTGTAGCGTTGAGGGTTTAGGGTTTAGGGGGCTCCAAGGTTTGCGAGATTAGTGCTCCGCGCTTTAGGGCGGATAGGGATTCGGGCTTGCGGCTGATCCAGGGTCTGGGACTTCACGGGCTGTAGCGTTGTGCCATGCTGGCTGCATGGTAGGGCTTAGGGCTTAGGGCTTAGGGCTAGGGTTCAGGGCTTAGGGTTTAGGGTTTAGGGCTTGTGTTTGTTATCGCCGCGTATCTCTAGCGATGACAGCTATGAACGGCAGTATGAACCTTATTGAGCGCATTGCTGAGGGCCCTCACGAGATTCAATAGCAATAACTGTCAACGCTAGAACGGGTTCGCAAAGCCTGGAAAGAGATACGAGGATGCTTTCCACAAGCTTCTGGAGACTGTCGACGAAGGATTGCAAGGAGGGTCTAGGATGGTTTGGGACTATCAGGAACTTAATTCTGAACCAATCTGAACCGCTTCACCGAAAACCCACGTCACCCAAACCCCCACGCCCCAAACACTAAGCTCCAGAAAAGGGGGGGTTTTGGGGTGTATAATTATACTATAAATATAATAAGGAACCCCCAAAATAGTATAGGTAATTATTAAGGTCCGTGCATTAGACCCAAACCCAAACCGCTAGAACCCTCCTTGCAAGCCTCAGCTGCAAATGTTTCTGCAGCGAACTTGCGAAAAGCCTCCTGGCCGATGGAGGGTTTAGGATTTACGGCTTAGGACTTCCTCTTTAAGGCAAGGTTTCTGAGAGCATTTTACAAGGGTCCTACAAGAGCTCGAAAGGTTTCGACAAGGGTTCTTATCATGATATCAAAGCACGAAACTTGAAACCGTCGACAAAGAAAGAACTGAAGCGGTCACTTCTGAACCGATCTATTCTGCAAGTTCATCCCTGGCCGTCCTCGGGCTCGCCCATGAGATCCTGAAACTGCACCCCGTTTGGCTCCAGTTTGCTGACGCGGATCCATGCAACTCGACCAACAGCTTGCTGGCGCCAGGCGCTTATATCACGAACAAGGGCGGAAGAATAGAACTGCGGTCGAGGGGCTTGGCTTCAGCGCAAACTAGTTATGCTGGCACCACAGCTAAGAATCATCACGCATATCCCATCTGCACTCATCCCAGTAGCAACATGCGTGGCTGGGTGCCGGACCTCAAGTCGTTGGGCTTTCACTGGCTGAACGACCTTCCAAAGCGACACTTTAGGGTTTTGGGTTCAGGCGTTGAAGGTTCAGGGTTGAGTGATGTTGTTGCTGGGCCTTTGTATACCCGGTAGCTGTCTAGTGTTGCTACTAGTTCAGTGTGACGGTTGCTGGGTGGAGGTATGACAACTCTCACAACCAACAGTCTGTTGTTACACGCAGTATTACTTAGCCTAACATTTCCGGTCGTCGTCGCAGTCGTCGTCGTCGTCGTCGTCGTCGTCATCGTCATCGTCGTCGTCGTCGCCGTCGTCGTCGCCGGCGTCGTCGTCGTCGTCGTAGTAGTAGTAGTAGTAGTAGTAGCAGCAGCAGCAGCATCAGCAGCAGTAGTAGTTGTTGTTGGTGGTGGTAGTAGTAGTAGTAGCAGCAGCAGCAGTAGCAGCAGGAGTAGTAGTAGTAGTAGTCGTCGTCGTCGTAGTAGTGGTAGTAGTAGTAGTAGTGGCAGTAGTGGCAGTAGTAGTGGCAGTAG